AAGACTTACAACGCAATGGTTTTCGGTGTTTTACAATAGGCGGAGTATATGAGTTGTTTCTGATTCTGTAGACTGCGTTGTGAATCATAGTTGGGCAGGAAGTTAGAAATGTGAGTCCATATATTGCTTTGTAGAGAAATAATAGATTGTTTCCTAGCCGACGATACCTATAGGTTCTAAGGAGAGGTGCTCACATTTATCTGTCTATTCACAAGTGGAGTCACATCCTAGCAGTCAGCGTGTGAAGCGTCTTTGGACATCTTCTGCTCTTATCTTGTCTGTGGTATTCATGTTTGAGAAGATAAAGGGGCAATATTGAAGGAAGGGTCGTATACATGTTTTGTGAAGAGTAATCATAGCCTTTGTTGTGAAGAAAACTTTCATTATTGGACCAATTAGCCGTCTAGATTTAGAAATAGGTAATGAGGCATTCGCTTCCAACTTTAGGCTTCCCGTGAAAGTAGTGCTTAGATCGTGCACTGAATTGAGTATTCGAACTCTTATTTAAGTAAATCAACACTATAACTAGTTAAATTTAATAGTTTCAGGATATCGTCATAAAGCATTGTCATAACTTGACAATCACGTAATATGACTGATAAAATTAATGAAACTATTTACGAAATCGGTCAACAAATTGACTTATAATTACCATTAAATGGTGTTGTTTTCTTGGTGTCTTCATCCATCACAGATGATTACAGTATGTTTCTCTATCAGTTGCTCATTCAGTAAATATCTCAAAACCTTGTCAGTCTAATTGATGGTTTAGCGACACAATCATGCATGCAAATAATCAGTATAAGCAGTCGAGCAAATCTCCTGCAAACTGAAAACATTAATGTCGAATTTACCCCAACACTGACTAAGGTTCAAGCCATTATCATAGACATGAGTTGGGAGTGTACTCCCCTTGGTTACAACTTATGGACTCCCTGATAATCACATGAGCATCACTCACGGTTAATCATCTTGTAAAAACGTATTTGGCCGAGTACATCTTACAGCACCACATCACTTAGTAATGTGACACAGGCTTAACTGATTTCAGTAACTTATAATCACCATATCTCATTTAAATCGTATTCTGCCCGCATACGTGCAACTAACTTGTATGCCCATCAGCCGGCAAGTATAAATATAAATAAATAGTCTATCGCAGATCAGAACATTGAGTCTAGAGCATGTCTCTTAGGAACACACTCATGTTTAACGATTTTTCCTAGCTATCTGTCCAAAATCCATATAATTATCACTCATGTATTTAAATTTTATTTTGATAATCATTCATGTGTATTAGTAGTATTACTAAATTCTATCACGGTCAAGTAAAAATGAGGTTGAGAAAATCTCCCCATAACTTAATAAACCGTATCAAACTAACTGGAACACTAGTTGGAATTCTTCTCCACGGTATACTTTTGTTCCTTCAGTTAGCCTACTAATACAGATGCAATTGGAAATCAATTCATATGGACAACTTACCGGCATAATCGTTATCTGATTTCATAATTTAAACCAAAACTAATACCAATATTAACATTTCCACAATATTCATTATTTTAATATTTCTAAACACAAAATAATTACTACCTATAAGTTAAGTTATTAACACGCATCGTTTTATTATTATTATTGTAATCCCATTTTTTAAAGTTCAAATAATCTTCAACACAAAATAATTACTACCTATAAGTTAAGTTATTAACACGCATCGTTTTATTATTATTATTGTAATCCCATTTTTTAAAGTTTAAATAATCTTCAACCAAATTTTCATTTTAAGCGTGTTAATCATGAAAGCAGATATTTTAAGATTATTACATGTATTTCCCGACCAGATGCTGCCGTCTTTTTGATTTATCTTTCAGCTTATCAATACCCGGAGGATCCTTATTATCCTTGGTAACCTCCGGCGCGCGACGATCCCATCCAATTTGGTATCGAACCAACATCACGTTGATTCTGGTGGGAGAGTAGTGTAGTGGCATTGGACAATAGCCACACAATCCACAAAGCTGTGAACACGAGACTACTCAGAAAATAGATATTCAATATTTAACTCGGGGAAATACCTAACAATGGAGAAGGCGCGGAGAAGGAATTGAATGGACTGGGTTTGATCGAATGGCATGGCTCGTCCATGCAGGCGTGGTCCATCTCAATGTTACTTTATATCTTCTATTCATATTAAATATATTGTTCTTTCTCTAGCCTAACCTTGTTCTACATCATGTATTGGTAATTGATACGATACAGTGAGTTGGTGTAGTCGATGGTGTGACTTCCACGTAAGATCTTATAGATTAGGCCGTTATATCATGACAAATCTACAAATTTAGGATTAGGTCTATCATAAGGGCAGTACTAATATCATAGTAGACCATAATTCTACAGTTCATAGGGATGTTTTCCGAAATTGTAGGTCAACATAGCAACAAGCTAGTCCGTTGTGGAGAGATTCTAGCGAATTACTCCTTATTGGAGTGTGTGTTTATGATGATTAAATCATTCAGATCAAAGAAAAAAAATGCTTAAAATCCACTTCATGGACTACTAATCTTCGCTGCTTCCTTGAAGATTTATACGAAACTTATAAAGAAGCAAATCTAGGATTAATCACAAAACTACAGAAAGAGTGTCTAAAAAGATTGTACTAGTAGAATTTAGTGTCAAATACTTACTCTTATGTTGTATTCCAAAATCGGTATGCGGTTGTGTGTATATATGCTGTTTGTAAATACATATTTGTATCAATCACTACAGGAACATATTTGATTCCTTTCACTTTTAGCAATTGTCCAACAATCCGTGAGTCACCTTCCACGGTTTGAAAGATCCAAAATGCTCGCTATTAGCAAACAGTATCTAATTCACTAGAGTCGAGATTAGAAAACGGCACACACTTTCTTCATTCAACTAGATTACTTTATGAACTAATGTGACATGGCACCATGGCACACATTAACTTCCTTCCTCCAACACTACATCATATTTTCGTTTTCATAGACCTTTCACATTCAGTTTCTTCCAAAATCTTTGAGCAACGCTATTAATTCCTAAATAGTTTTTTACCCAATGATTCTCGATTTGATATAAACAACCAAATGACTGTCTTGATAATACACTAAAAGCTGGTTAAATTATAGTGACATAAAATGACTTTGTTATCTGACTTGGAATAAACAGTGTATAAGACTTACTGTGTTTTAAAACTTCTTAATTAATATTTAGGTAACACAACACGCGCCTAGAAATCACCTATGAGCTTTGATCAGCCTACCACAATTCCAATACAGAATTACCCATGTTATGACATGTCATGGAACCTGCACCAGTCTCTACGATGTAAACACAAATATAATATAATTATAGACAGAGACCGCGAAGCATTAAAAATAGTTCTTCAAAATATAGACTTTGACCGTTAAACGAATTGAAAAATATCACGTTCGACACAATGTTGACATTGCAATAAAAAGTACTTATCATGTATCATCAGCTTCTAGAATAATATTGTTGGTTACTATCAAATATACTGAACTGTTTTTTAACTCTGAGGCGTTGTATAGTGATGGTTTACAAATATGTTGTTGATTGAGTATGACTGCTAGGTCCTAATCGCCCGACAAATGACGACGGCGACGCCGCTAACCTTTTGGCTGAACAATACTCTCGGACATTTCAACCGACCCACGTCAACTATACTGATAAAAAAGCTTCATCTGCAACTGCACGGGACTTTCCGAAGTGAACCTGAGCGCTGAATTGGTGTTCTGGAAACTGCAGCACCTAAAAAGACACTTCTCCTGGCCTAGATATGGTCCATTGTGCTATACTGAGGGAAGCAGCTTCAATCCTGTCAGTACTCGCTAAGCTGAGGCAAACTACTGGAAAATTGGGAGCTGGCTCACATCACACCAATTTCCAAAGGAGGTCGACGAAGCGAACCTTCAAGTTACAGACCGGTGGCTCTTCTCTCAATACCCTCAAAAATCATGGAGTTCCTGATATGTGATGGTGTAAATGACTATTTACTATCCTTAAATTTCTTCTCACCCCAACAGCATGGTTTCAGGAAGGGTTACCCTTGTATTACCAACCTGCTGACTGCGGTGGACAGATGGACAAGCATCCTTGATCACAAAAGGGAAGGTTGATATCATCTACCTAGATTTCTCAAAAGCTTTTGATAAGGTTAACCATACATGTCTTATCAATAAAATCATATGATTGGATATCAGACCACCTCTAATCGATTGGCTCACTTCATAACTGAAAAATCGACATTTTAAGGTCAGGGTTAATTTCACTTTATCTCAGGCTATGGAATGTCCTAGTGGGGTCCCCCAGGGCTCAGTACTAGGACCTCTTCTCTTCTTGATCTACATAAATGATCTTCCTCAACAGGCAACGTCAGACTTATTACTTTTTGCAGATGCCATGAAACGTTGGAGAGAAATACGCAACCAGGATGATATACAGGCACTTCAGGAGGATCTGACTCGACTTCAAAGTTGGGCAGACGATAACGGACTTACCTTAAACACTTCAAAGTGTAAAGTAGTCCATCTGCGACATGTCGTAGACTAAAGTTATAACTTAGGTAACTCCTCCTTAGTAGTATCCCACGTCGAAAAAGATTCAGGAGTCCTGGTGCCCTTCGATTTAAAGTCTTACGCTAACTGTGACAAAAATGCCTTCCGAGCAAACCTTCCACTGGTAACATTGAAGCACATTTTTGGCCAGCCGTTGTCAAATGCTGGAATTTGCCGCCGGATGTGCTACTGCAGACAACTTCCCAGGAGTCCTTTAAGAGGAAACTTGACCTATTCTTACGGACTTAGGATGACATCTTATTATGAGCTGCCAATTTCTTTTTTTCTAATATATTATAGATAATGTACCTAGGTTCCTGCCTAGAAGTATTGGTGATTCCTTGCTACTAGACACGGAGGCTTGTTAAGCGAAAGCTTCTTCTATTCCATCCACAACCATTTGAACCATTTGACTACGCGGGTCTTTCCCCTACTGCGTTACTCCCCTCCAGCTCATCAGCAATGGAAATATTTAGAAAATATTTAGGTGGTTCGACGGAATCAGACGAGGTTGTTGGAGCTGATATTGTACGTTTTTGCAAGGTTTTTACACTGGTCAAAGGTGGATAAGCTTGTAGATCGCTACCAGTCTTCAACTAGAATTGATGACAAGAGGGATGCTTTACGGGCCCTGAAAGCGATTTCTAAGGCAAGCAAACATTTTTAATCTTTATATATCTAGGTGTTTAGAAGTACCGATTGGAGGTTGGAACCCAAGCAATGATTATCTTCTCTTCAGTCCTGAAAAATGATTGGTTTGTTACGAGCATTTAATGTCTATAATTCACCCTCTTTAGGGAGGATTCGGATTGTGTATGTTACGCCTTGGAAGGCCTTTATTCTGTGATGAACGATGAAATAAGCGAACAAGGTTTGTTCTTCCCAGTTTTTAAGTTCCGTAGTTGAACCTCATGAGTTAGTCAATATACCAACTGACCTGGGTGTACAGTTCACGGAAATGTATATGAAGAACACTGAGAATTACCAAACTTTATTGTCACTTTTGGATGTAAGTTGACCTTATTATCAGTTCACTTCATTTTCCTAAGCCAGTAGTCTCATATGAACATGGTAAACGTATTGTATTGTTTCACGGTACTTATCGAAGAGTAGTTAGGGCAACAATGGGCTTATTTAATTATACAGTAATACAATAAGCTGGCAAGGCCATATTTTATGGGAGAATCAATCAGATTTAGGATCGCGCGTCCTGGATTTTGGTGAGAAATTCACTCATCCGTTTGGCTAGATAGCGTTTTGGCATTTTGACCGGTGTCAGTTCGTGATTGAAGCCGTAAATCTAGTTCTTGAATGCGGGGGTGTTGTTTACGAAAATGAGAGAACGAAAAGCGAATGTCCGGCGCTTTAACCGGGTTCCGAATCAATGGTGCACACGGGCACCAGTATCCTGCGGGAACAAATGGAGTATGAACCAATTTTCGGTCACCGGCTACCATGGGACTGCATCTCCTTACGATGTTCCACTGCCTTGTGGGTTAGACCTTTAGGTCAAGGGCTCGGGTTGTGGCCCCCTAAGATAACCACCTGCTTCGGTCTGGGCACCCGGGCAGTATCACAGCCCACACACAATTAATGAACTGAACTGTCTATGATCATGGAAACTAATTCTCTTGCTTCGACGAACATTCAAATGATTCAATTATTATTATTGCTATTATTATTATGATTTACTATGCCATTATTCACCCTCCTTTATTCCTACTCTGTCTATACTTATTTTTTTCGACTTATACAGCAGCTCGTCTATGGTGGAAATTTGACTGTATCTAAATGTTCTCGAGTCACTGTCCGATTGAAAATTGTATGTTACCACCGAATATGAGTACTGAAGCAGTTTTTCTGAAACCACGTGCACCATTCAAACTGGCTGCCTTCAACGTTCGCACATTTATGCAGGTCGGACAACAAATAGGGCTGGCTATGTCTTTAGAAAGTCTTAATATCGACGTTTTTGTCTATCCAAAACTCGTATTCAAGACTGTGGTGAAGTACTACAAATTCGCTCTCTATCTGTCGCTTCGAAAAGGTTGTCTGACGTGCGTTTATCCGGGGACCCTGTGGCATCTTCGTCTGGTCTTGCTGGCGTTGGTGTCGCACTAAGTGTTAGAGATGAGGCAGCACTAATCGATGAGATTCCCATTAACAACCGGTTGGTTATTTGCTGTTAGATTAGAAAGTTCCATCAAAGTGAGAAGAAATCGGCGTGAGAAACGATGTCTTTTCGTAATCTCCGCCTATACCCCAACAGATTGCAGCCCGGATGCAATCAAGGATGAGTTTTACCACCAGTTATCTGTTCTTCTCCAGAAAGTGCGTTCGACAGATATTGTAGTACTAGCCGGAGACTTGAATGCTCAGGTCGGGTGTCTAGGCACAGAAGAGGGTCGTTTAGGTGGCCGATGGGGAATTGTTAGTCGCAGGACAGATAACGGGGACCGTCTACTGCAACTGTGCACAGACCACAACCTGTTTCTGGCTAGCACTAACTTTCGGCACAGTCATCGCCGATGTGCCAGCTGGCGTCCTCCCTCTGCATCTCAAGCCTGGACTCAGATTGATCACATCGCGATCAGTTACCGCTGGCGTGGTTGTGTAAAAGACTGCCGCTCCTTTTGGTGTACCTATCTCGACTCTGATCATGCCTTGGTCTGCGCCAATCTTGCCTTACTTTTCAGTGGACAACGAAGTGACCGCCACCAAGGGATTGATGTTAGCAAGTTGGTTGCAACTTCTGTTGCAAGTAAGTATCGAATCGAGCTAGCTTCTAGGCTAGCTACCATACCACCGAAAAGTATAGATGAGCGTTGGTTGCAATTGCATGACGCCATGAAAATGGCGGGTACAGTCAGTTGTGGGTTTGCGGAACGTCCCGCTTTTAAGCACTGGGTTTCTTCTGGTTCCTTACAACTCATTGAAGCCCGTCGGTCTACTTCGGGTGACCGTTTGACTACAAACGAAGGTTGTTACGTAGTGAAATTGGGCAAAGCTTGCGTAAGGACCGAGAAGCCTGGTGGTCGGAGCGTGCTAATGAACTGGAAGCAACACCTGCATCTGGTAATTACCGGAAGCTCTTCCAACTCATCCGAGCCACTGGCAGCAAGAAGTCTGGTGTGAGCGAAACAATCTGCGAGGATGACGGGATGCCAATCACTAACATCCATCGACGTTTTGGACGATGGGCAGAATTTTTCGAAGGGCAGTTCAACTGGCCTGCTGCTCCGGCAACATCGGTCAGACTGTCCTGCCCTCCATGGCCGGTGACGACTGATCCACCAAACGAGGAGGAAGTCCGCAAGGAACTCCAACTCTTGAAGCGTTACAAATCACCTGGCCTAGATGACTTACCTCCGGCTCTTTTTAAAGATGGTGGCTTTCTGACTAAGGGACTGATGACGTTGCTTACAAAAGTCTGGGAACTAGAGAGTGTACCAACGTCATGGAATGAGTCGATAGTTGTCTCTATCTTTAAAAAGGGTTCACGTTGTTCCTGTAACAATTATCGGGGGATAAGTCTACCTCCGATTGCGTCCAAGCTATTGGCTTCCGTCATACTTCGTAGGTTGTTCAAAACCCGAGAAAGATTGACTCGCGAGGAGCAGGCTGGGTTTCGTTCTGGTCGAGGATGTATTGATCATATCTTCACCCTCCGCCAAGTGTTAGAACACCGCCATACTTTTCAAAGGCCAACAATCTTAGTGTTTCTTGACATCAGGGCTGCCTTCGATTCGTTGGATAGGACTGTTCTCTGGGATTGTCTATTGAAGAAGGGTGTGCCTGAGAAGTTTATTAACACCCTAAAAGCCCTATATACAAACACCTCAGGCAGAGTGAGGGCATACAACCACCTCTCTCCATTGTTCTATTCGAGCAGTGGGGTTAGGCAGGGTTGTCCAATCTCACAATTCCTCTTCAACTTCGCCATCGACGACATTCTGGAAACAGCTGTGATGGCTGTAAGTAATGATGGTGTAGATCTGTTGCCTGGAGAAAGACTTCTCGACCTTGAGTGTGCGGATGATATTGTCTTACTGTGCGATAATGCTCAAGCCATGCAATCCGCATTTAATCAGTTGGCAATCAGTGTCCGTAGGTATGGTATGTGCTTTGCACCTTCGAAATGCAAAGTACTTCTACAAGACTTGCAGGATCCTAATCGTGTACTCAGCCTGGATGGTGAGCAGATAGAAGTAGTCGAGAAGTTCGTGTATCTGGGTAGCTGCATAAGTGCTGGTGAGGGTGTGAGTGATGAGATTAATGCATGTATAGTGGAAGCCAGAGTGGCTTATGCCAATCTGGGCCATCTTTGGCGCCTTCGTGATGTTAGTCTGGCTGTAAAAGGTCGGATCTACAACGCGTCGGTGAGAGCAGTTTTGCTCTATGCTTGTGAAACCTGGTCTCTCCGAGTTGAGGACGTTAGACGACTCTCTGTGTTTGATCATCGTTGTCTCCGAAGGATCGCTGACATCCAGTGGCAACACCATGTTAGTAATGCAGAGGTTCGGCATCGTGTGTTCGGGCACAGAGACGATAATGCAATTGGTGTCACCATCTTGAAACACCGACTTCGGTGGCTTGGACATGTTCTACGAATGTCGTCCCAGAGAATTCCACGTTGTGCTTTATTTGCCGACTGTGGGACTGGTTGGAGAAAGCGGAGAGGTGGTCAGTATATGACATTGTGTCGTGGTATGAAAAAAAGCTGCAAAGGGCTGGCTTGTGTCGGTCCTTCATGACTCCCTGGTTGGGGTCCGAGAGATGGTACAACACAGTGGCTAGAGACGTTATCACATATGTCTCAGAATGGAAGCCAATGGCGATCATGCTGTAACCTTCTTTTACTTTCTTCATAAAACGTGGTTGTATCTTCCTTAACTGAAAGATTTCTTCTGATTGTACCCTTCTGTTCCCCTACTATTACTATTATTATTACACTACCTTACACCAATCTCTTCGTTATGGTTTTTTTATATCTTTTTTTACGTTCCTCACTTTTTTCTTTTTCTTCTTAAATTCTCATTGTTTTGTGTGGCGCATATATATTTAGCGCACTCCTGTACCAATATATATGTCTTCAAATAAATAATAAAATCATGTCCAACTATCTTACTTTATTCCATTATAACAAGCTATGTTCCAGTTAACAATGAAAGTACGAATGAAGCTGTCTTCTGAGAGTAATCTCCATCTATCGAAATCGTTTTATACAGTAAAACCAAATATCGCTTTGATCAATTCCAACGATTGGGCTAGTGCTCAGGTCAAGAAGCTGAGTGAAATATGGCAAGCTGACAATTTTCACTACATTTAAAAAGCTAAACATCCTATGACTTTCAGTTTGGTGACGGGTACATATTAATTGTTTACTAATTATACACTATACAGACTACCCAAAACATTAAACCAAACCACTGATATGGAGTAAATCACGCTTCATTTTGGGGGTATGATTATCCCATTATCATTCTTTATCAAATTCCTGAACATTATCGTATGTTGCAAGGTTACAATTTCCATATTTTACTGTACAAAATGACCGCCTCAGATTCTTATCACACTTAGATTGTAGCTAGCAGTGGAATTCAGGACTCCCATGCCGTTCTATTTATTGGATATATTAGCACCCGTGTTGTCTTTTCGGTGGGAATAAATTCCTTATAAAGACTTTTCCGTATACCGGAAACGCTACCCAATATACTTATGGTAGACTTAAGGCACCAGTCAGTCAAGCGTAGCGTAAAACCTGGCATATGTGTATATCGGTTCAAGTCGTCATACTCTATTAACACAGGTAGACAAAATTTCCGGTAACAGAAAAAATTGAGCATACAGCTACATTTCTATTTCTGCAAACTCCTTGTGGACTTATGTTCCCTTTTACCAGTAATAAACGTCATTTAAAAAAGGGTTTTAGTTCTGCTGGGGTCGTGAAACATTACTCAAAATAGTGTTACTGATTCACAGACTGGTGAAATGTTTATTTAAATAGCTGAGCACAGATAGTGGAAATAGGCTTTTTATTAATTCATAATTTCTGATTGCGAAGCGAAAATGCAGAAAACCTGAATAATAATAGCGAGAACTCTCTCAACATAAATTTTTTGGTCGTTATGTGTTTTTTATCGGTAATAATTATCAGCAACAGTTGGTCTGTAGTCGAAATTACCGTTATTGAAGATTTTAAAATTAAGCGAAAATTCACAGATATTTTGTTTCCGGTTGTAGGAACCTTTTGTTTTAGCTACTGGATAACAATATTATGGTGAGGTCTTGTCTCATTTTAGAGAAACAGAAACTGTGTACTTCGTATCCAATTACTCGTTTTTGTGATGACTGAGAAGAAACCTGGTATCAGAATCTGTGTAGCTTGACGCAATGAAAAATATAAACATTTTGGGAGATGAAAATCTAGTTGACCTTCCACACACGAAAATATCCCTTTTTACATTTATTTCTATACAAACGTACTCCCATCGATTGTTCGTTAACGAAATGCCAAGAATAACTAGGTCTCGAAATTAATTAGTTTTTGATACATCATGTTTTTTTAAAAATATTTTGTCAAATAAAGTACTCTAATGTTTTATTTTGTAATCGTAAAAGTCAGTCACTTTTCCCAATACTTCTAATTAAATTGTGTTATATGGTTATTTATACTTGTTTTATTACCAGGCACCTGAGAGTTTTATTCGACGGAACGCTATGCGGTTGCTTACAGTGCTTTCTATCAATCGTCTAAAAGATACTCAAAATGCTCTCCTTCAGTGTCGTACCGGAGTTTCAAAACTTGTGGATATACTTTCAGACACTCATGAAGTTTTACGGAATGATGTGAGTTTGACAGTAAACTATGATAAAAGATAGTGCCCACCAGTTTAATCCTCTTCGTTAAATGGATTTTAGTTTTTTTACACGTATCGGTCACTTGTTATACTTGTGATTTTTAAAACTTTGAAGGGATTCATTATTTTGGCCTCATACTCCAAGGAGGTGTAATCCTACTAGACTATATTCACTGTTTAATTCGTTAAATTTCTATCATTATTGTTATTTAAAACATGTTTATTCACATTTCGAAGTTTTGTTTTATCACAGGTCATACTTCTTCTAACGGAACTCACCAAAGCAAATGCTAACATCCAGAAAATAGTAGCCTTTGAAAATGCTTTCGATTGGTTACTGAAAATCATATATTCTGAAGGTCTGTGTGATGGTAGTGTGGTTGTAGAAGATTGTCTTCGTTTATTATTTCAATTGTTAGACGGTAATCCATCTAACCAAGTCTTGTTTGCAGAAGGGAATTTTATTCAGCGTCTTTCGCTTTTATTTGACTTGCATTCTACTGAAAGTACACAGTCACACCTTTGGTCTGCACAGAAAGTTGTCAATGCGGAGGTAGCTATGCAGGTAAGTGTTGTTTCGAATGTAATTATCAAATTCTTCCAGTTGCATTCAGGTTTTTCAATCGTTTAATTTATTGGGTTTTATACCGCTTTCGCTGCTAAAATTTCTTTGAGATTTTCGACACATTCGTACATAAGTGATTGGAATTTTTCAACACATCAATATTTATAAAACGACTTATTACTTTTATATTGGAGTACTTTTGTAAATCTAGTGTTTCTTATTTATAATATTAAGATCAACTGACTATCTCATTAGATGCACACAATTTATTTGTCGTTTTTAAGGTGTACATATGCCTAATTTTTTCCTGTGGCTTATAAACTGCTTCTGTAAAACTTTGTAAGATATTTCCCCCTTTTAAAATTATCTTGACAATTCTATTTACAGCACATTTGTTTCACTAGATTAGTGGATATTCATTAAAATATGTGGTTTAATAGTGCGGGTCCATCAACTTCTGTTTGAGAGACCATTTTATTCTAATATGATTCATTTGCAAATTACAGGTTTATGTACTCATCTTTTAGCCATAACAGGTATAAATGAAATTTTAAATTCCTTCCTCACAGTATTCAACGACCATAGTTTGTTACCAGTCATGTGCAAAAGACTAAGGTGCCAAGATTTAGATTTTATTTCCACATCCAAGATTTGAAAAATATTTTCGAATCATTGTGTTATTCCGCAACAGGTAACGCATATTTTCAGTTATTTCGTTTCTAATATACTTTAGTAATAAAGTGTTGTTTGTTTCATTAAACATTTACTTGTTTTGTTTTCGTACGTTATACGTACCAAGTTAATGATGATAATCTATTTGTATTTGAAATTTAAAAAAATAGGTTGTTCAAACCTTGGTAGCGCCTTGTAATAAAGCTCAATTAACGCGAAACTGCCAGAATGTGATTTATGATTGTGGTCTTCTAGAAAAACTATGTAATATTGTGATGATTAGTGGTGTTCCAGCAGATGTCCTAACAAAATCAATCTATGCTTTAGCGGACTCAATACGTGGATGCCCAAGAAATCAAGAATATTTAGCAAATTTAGTTACACCTTCAGAGCCCCCTCAATCTGCTGTGAATGTGCTACTCGTATCTATGTTAAATAAGCATCAATCTGTAGTTGTGCGTGTAGCTGCGCTATACTGCTTTCAATGTTATCTTGCTTCCAATCATCAAGGACAGAATGCAATTGTGATGACATTGCTGCCTAAACCTAATGATGGTATGTTTAGTTAAATGCTAAAATGTTGAATTGTCTTAAAATGAAATCGTCAACTATACAATGAATTGTCTTCATAGGACAAAAGCTATTGACTTCAATTTAGACTGCATCACTAAATTCAAAGATTAATTCAATAAAGCCGTGGATAAAAATTGATAATGTTCATTAATAACTTACTAGAAAGGTAGCCACGGTCGATAGCTAGTCAGTCACTAATATTTCTTAAGTCCTGTTAAACACGTGTGTTGTATATTCATTAGGCTAAGTGTCTCATATTACTCTTTATGTTTATTAACTCCAATTAAGGAAAATCATCTTAAGTACAGTGTTATATCGTATCGTTTAACTTATCGGAATCATTGGATGTTTATTAAGTGGCTACTGGTTTCTAAAGCTTGGTTTTGAACCAAAGCATCTGAAAGAGTTTTTGTTTTTTTATGGGAGATTTTCATTTTGTGTAGTTTTAAGATAGGTTACAATTGTTCTGTCCTACCATATCAGTAAGGCAAAACTACGGTACCAATCCAAGATATTTCTTTCGATTTTATTATTAAAATTTTATGCAATACCCAGTTTATTTGAATTTATCAAGTCTAACTTTAGTATTGATATCTATTAACTGATGCTCATTGCCACTTAAAAGTAGTCATTTGGTTTTGATTTCAGTTCCACAGCTTGGTGTTAGCGCTGGTCAGTTGCTTTGTGGAGGATTGTTTTCCGGTGATTCATCAGCTTGGTTTTCTTCAATAGCTCTTCTTCATTGTATCCATGATAATGTACAGCTTAAAGAAGAACTTTTGCGCGTACATTTATCTCCTAATGAAGGAGCTCTACCTGTTACCCTTTTTCATCAGTGCTTTATATGGCAACAACAGGTTAGTAATTGTTAATTCAGCTTAAAATTTTATCATATAAGGAAATTCTTCAGATTTTTTTATTTGATACAGTCAGAAGTTAACAATTTCAATTGATTTTCGAGAACTATCATTCCCATCTATGAAATCATCTTTTTCATGAGATTTAAGGTGTGTTCATTAAAAAACCCTTTATAACTTTGAAGTGGAATGAGTATTATAGTGTAACGAGCTGATAGGTTAGTTCTAAAACACCAGTCTAGATTAATCCAAACAAATATGTTTTTATTAGTATGGATTAGCCAAGTTTTTAGTGCAAATGTTTGTCAAAATCAAGGTTCAGCTAGAAAATATTCTTATTGATCAATCTTTGTTAGCATATGTGGGGAGGGCTCCCGGTTAACTCAAGGAAGTTCTGGAAGAGCCGAAGACATTCCATCCAATCATCGTTTGAAAGAACATTCCAGAATCTTGACGTGTAACTTCCCAATTGGACGAATGCTAAAACTCTCTAGTTTTCAATGGTTCTGCAGCTGAAGTGAAGTTGTATCTATTCTACACTTGTTCAATTCACTTTTAGCGTGGTATCTGAAGTTCTTTTTTGTTATTATTTCTTATTATCAAATAATATGGGAACAGACAAGGGAAGAAGGAAATGGGCATCTACTTTTTCTCCATTTTGTTTAGTTCTACCTTATTTTTTATGAAAAGATACTTACAACATGTGTGCATGTGCAGGGGTGTATACCTTACGATATTGAATGCTAGTGGATTCAGATAGAATGACGATAAAAATCGTAACCCGGATGACTGAATATACTATCATTTGATTATCTAATCAATAATCAATCCTCTGAATAGTTCTTATGTCTTTTTACACTTCTAGTGGTCTTTGTTAACTTACTTTCAATCGATACTTTATATATATATATCAAGTGGAAAAAATCTCAGGTTTGAAATCAGAAGTAATAAAAATCTAAAAGAAAAGGGCTAGAAAAGGATAATGCAAACCAAAAAGATAAGAAATGTGAGTTAATTTGCTTCACTCCAACGGATTTTGAGCTGTTATTTAAAATCTCTAATCCTAACAAAAAACTTCGTACTAATGTGATGCTCCATTTGAATTTAAGTTATAGTCGAAAAACACATTCCAAAATCCTTACATTATCCTTTATGGTATTCAAAAGATTTTTCATTTTTCCAACATCTTCAACTTAGAGGATCATGTCTTCTACATATTTTAGGCTATTTATCAGTTCTTCAAGTAGACCAGTCATTGTGAAGTTGGGCAAAGGAACTTTAATGTTACTCAAAGTTGGATAAGATTTTGTGTGATTATCTATGATGAATATTATCAGACGTAACCGCTTCAAACATTAATTCGCCACAATCATTATATATGAGTACAACTTTCCGAGTAGTTAGTCTTCAGTGCTAGTGTGATGTAATTGTTGAACTCGTTTCGGTTGAAGATACCACAAAACCGTTCGACGTGAAAATTCGAATATCTTTGTGTTCAGGAATCTATATAAGGTATGTATCAAAGAGTATGGGTCAGAAAATATCTGGTCAACAGCTGATGGAGATTTAAAACTCACTTGGTTTTCTCGAGGTTTTTATTTTGCGGCTCCGGATAGGTATAGGAAAATATGAGTGTTTGTGGTAACTCAAACTACCAGTTTTGCCAGTTAGGATTTTAGTTGTGTAACATTTATTAAATCATTAAAAAAGGCTTAATGGCAATGAGCTTCTCAACTCATATTCATTGTGTTCGTTTTTTCCTGTATCTTCGTCGCGTAGTTGCTCAAAGTTGCCCTTTGCACTGCTGCATCTGAAGGTCGGCTCGTAAAGATAGGAACATTATCTGTGATAAGTTGTAGCTGAGGATTATCTTATAGCAGTGTATTTGTTAACGAAGATAGACTGGGAACTGCGTGATCTTACGAATTGGTGAACGTAGTTGAGGATTTAGAAATTTAAATTACAATTAGGGGAATATATTAAGTCTCCTAGGTACCGTAACCATTTTATTCACTGTTTGTTCAACTGTTCTAGTTCGTTTTAATTCTTTACTTCAACAAATTTTCTAAATGGAGGAGCTTGAAGTGTCGTGAATTTTATAGTGTTATGTTACGCAAATCTTCTGATGAGTTGGCCTCATTTATTACAGCACTGAGAATATCAGCATAAATGTGGATGATTGTGTTGGTCTTGTTTAGAACGATGAGGTGTGCCTATTCAGGACAGTAAAACACGTTTCTTTTCAAGAGAACAGAGGTCTGTATCCAATGACATCAGCAAACTGTGGAAATGTTTTGTTTCTCTCCCATTTGTAGTTTTTCGCAGTTCTAACTAGACAATTATTTACCGATACGGAGGAAGTTGTCATAACACTCTGGTTTGTTGATATCTTTACTTATGTCTATCTACGTTGTCATAAAACCGCATTTATTGCTCTTTTCTTTTGATGAAGTCTGTCGGCTGAAGTCTCAGTTTCACTTACTGTAGCTGCTTCTATATAAGACGGCAAGCGTTCTACGAAACTATAACTCAATGTTTACATGAATTTTTTTCCAAGATTTGATATTCAGTTTATATGCATTGTCATAAAACCGTACTCATTATTCTGTTTCACGTAATAAAACTGTTATACCAATTTTCGGCTTCATATACTATTGCTATTCATTGACATAGGATAGGAAACTATTTGAGAAATTATAAGTTACAAACAGTATTATCATGCGCGATCTTATATTTTAAATATCTCACTCGTGAAAAAGACATATTTTTCAAGTGGTGTTGATCAAAAAATTCTGTTTTTAACCCCGGTAGCTTACAAGCTGGAATCCAGCTGCTTCATTTCGATCGCGCTACCGCGTAGTGTAATTACTTCTAAACGTATTTTGTTTCTTTTTCTTTATTTTTAAAATTAAAACAGTGTAATCGTTTTCAAACCCGCATGGGTTTACTGCAATTATTATGTACTTGGTTCACAAACTGTTCTGAAGCAATAAGATGTTTTTTAAATCCATCATCCGGTACAGGAGATGATCGGACAGAATCAGTGAATCGTGGCTCGTATTTATGGACGTTTATTGCAGAAGCATGCGCAGTGGATAATGACGAAAATGAAGCATTAGTTCACGGTTTGACTACATTATTAGTTTGCATCTGTGTAATTTACAATCCTGGGAATGTAAATGGATTTGAAAGGTAATTATTTGTTGTTATTATTTAGTCATATGAATATTCTCTTTTTTTTAAAGTGTTAAGTTTTTCTAATTTATACGAGGCTTCAATGTCTAACCGAAATAAGGTAACAGTTTTTGAACTTTGATTGGTAAACGTTTTATTTCATGGTTGTGGACACTAGGAGGTAGAACTTGACATGAATATTTTATTTATATCACTGGCACGTTTGTTAGTAAAACTATAGTATACATAATAACTTGGTCAATTTCCAATTTTATTGGTTTTTAGGATAATTAATAGAATTTTAGGTGTATGCGTTGAAAGTATCTGTTTTACAGATTTTTTACCTGCACGAAGAAACTGCCGTGTAATTAGTATAGTGTCCTAGCGTTTTACAGGAAATTAGTTGACGCAGTTGTGAACCTGTATTGACTGAAATGGTCGTAAAGTTTAAGTATTTAGTCGCAAAACACTGTGATATGATATTTTCCCCCAGTTGAAGTAGGTTGGAAGAAGCGTTAAGATAATTAGATAGAGACATAGGATCTCTTCATGAAGTTACTGATTTTTGGTTGGAACATCATAAACCCCTGTGATTGGAGTTCGGATTGTATCCGGGAAGAATATACATTGAAAGATGAAAAAACGGAAATTCATTCAAAACCCAGTATCACTAGCTTGTTTATATTTACTCTTGCCTTTGTCCTAATTTTTTACGAGACTTGCATTTTTGGATTATTCCTGTAAGTTGTTTGATACCTTTCTTATTAATATTTCATGTACAATGTATTACAAACTGAACTGATGAACTGGTATGTTGGTTTTTTAAACGCCTTTGTCAGTCAGTTAGACAGTAACTGCATGGATTATCTCGCAATAATCCAAACTGTAACCAGCTACAATTGAAAACTTAATTCGTTTAAATGACGTAATACTGCAGTTTATCTGCAGTATTGATGAGCAAATAAATCAAATCCGACCCGTCATCAGATTATGTACAACGCTTGTAATTACTTAGAATTATGAGTAAAAGCGGTCAACGGTGAAATAATTTGAGGGAAAAATATCGATTTGTATTAAGATTTTTAAAATTAAATTCTATCTATTCAAGCGACTTAAGGAGCCTAACAAAACTTGTAATGCTGACATAAAGTATATAGATGGTATTTCTGATATCTTCCCTTTCCTTTGGTACTAAGTCAGGTAATCCCAACCGTCAAATGAAGCTAATAGAAATGAGAGTTAACAATATCCTTTTTATGTTTCAAACATGCAACACTGATTGAATTTGATTGGACGTTAACAATATATCAGTTTCATGATCTAAGATATTTTGCTTTTAAAATATTTGCATTTTTTAAATCAATTTATCTTCGTGAACAAAGATTTTTTTGAATAATTTTTAATAATTTAGATTTTGGATTTTAACCCATTACAACAAGTAAAGTGATATATGATGATTGCAGCACATTAGGGAAAAAGCTATGCGTAGTTATACCCATTTCATTTAAAATGTTACGTTGATAACTCTGCTGATTGTGTAAATAAGTAGTATTTTCTAGAAAAAAAAGATTATAACTATCTTAACTAAAAATATTTTGATATTTTATGTGTCACCTGTCTAAAGTATCTGTGTTCCTACAACCGTTTAGTAAACGATTTGCTCTCACCTGTAATCTACTGTTACCTAAATGTGAACTTAAATTTCGAAAAACATTTATACTTATTATGCTTTTATTAGTAAATGAATAAGAGTTAGTTGTACTCTGCATAAGTTTTTGCTACTTGTTATTGTTTATAGTTTTGGTGTTGTTTTAATTAATAGTCGATTTTACTATCCTCGTTTTTCAAATGAGTGTATACATACTGTCGTATTTCTCAATATAGAGTTTACATTAATTCCGCTCATTTCGTCGATTTGCATAATAATCAAATGTGTTGTCCAGTCAACCGACTGGAAACCACTGAGTTCCCTTTTCAAACCCTGTCCAATTGCACTGGTTCGAAAATTCGTCTGATATTGTTAATTTTCACAATTGAATATGTCTAGCATATAATTTTGTGTAAGAACTTTTACATGGTTAGTAGTTTACTTGTATTCTTGTAATACTGACAGTGGTTTATAAACCTCTAACTATCGAAATCTGTCGCACTTTGTACTCACTGTGAATTTCGTCCTAGGAAGTGGTTTAACCATGAAATCAACAGTCGAAGTTCGTAATATGATGAAGTTGTAACTTAATGGTTTGGGTAATCCACTTTCTCACACATAATGTTTCAATTTTTAAACCTACTCCATATACCTTTGTTTTGTTAGCATATATAGTACCATAAGTCATCACTCTCAAAAGGTGTAGTCCTGAGTTTAAGATACGAAAACGTTTTGATATGATTAAATAGTGTTAAATTTACGTTTTAGTGTAAAGGATGTTGATAATTGCAAGAGTATTTGAAGAAAAATGTCATCCAATCGTTCGTTTGTTTGTTGATCTTATTGACTTGTTTTGTTTTTCTCTTTAAACTCTAGATCAACATTATATAATGCCCTGGAGAAACGCATCGGGATAGATATGATTTTAGAACGTCTAAGTCAAATATCCAAAGCTGAATCATTTATTACAGCTTCAAAAAAACCTCAAATATCTGTTCAGTCTACTGATGATTTAATATTTGATTATACATTTACACGTTTATTCAAACGATTAGAATGTAAGTGTTTATATGTTTCCCTTAGTGATTCATTTACTTTTTTTTTGAAATATGATAATGATTTACACTATTGACAATTTTGTTTCAATGATTTTATGAAATAGAAGAAATATTTTTATGAATTTAGTCAGTTATTAAATTATTTAAACAAAACTGATTAATCAATATCAGTTTGTTTTAAACTTCTTATTGGATAGGGACTCTTTATGTTGGGTCCTAAATGTAATGAGTAGTAGGAGAGTTGATCAATAGTAGCTGATCAATAATAAATACTATTCCTAGTTATGATTTGTCAAAGTTTTATTTCAAAATAAAACATTTGGTTGGTGAACGTGTCTTTTGGTGTTTATTTAGTAATAGCTTAGAAATCAGTAGCCAATTACATGTTTATAACCAAATCTTGATCCCGTAAATTATTGTTTGAAGATCAGGTACAATACCGGACTCGTCAAAATAAACTGAGCACAAAATTGATTTTAGGTTTTCGATTAATTGGCTTAATAATGAATACTTAGTCGATAGCCTATTTTCTTTTGATGTGTAAAGTGGATTGGTCTTTTCACTAACTTTCAAAACAGGAAATTATATGTTTTTTTTAATTTGTCGTTTTATTCTTTGCGTCTGAAACAGTATTGCTAGTAAAATACGTAGAAACACTATAAATATTGTATTATCACTTTCATTGTAATACGTTTTACTGCCAGTTACAATTCACCTAGCTGTAGCTAGACTTAAATTGTGAATGATTTTAGTTAAGAAGCTTTTCTGAACTATATAAAAGCCATTCATATGATACCTGATTAATTGATCATTTGTTTATTTAGATGAAGTAATGCATACATTCCAGTTGGACAGTAGTATTAATGGAGTAAAGAATTGTACTTCATTTAGTGATAATCACCAAAATAGTAAACCCGTTGATCCTACAATTACAACAATAAGTAAACGATATGACGAGAAGCTGGCAAGACAGGAGAATGAGATAACAATGTTGCGTAATCGTATAAGTGAATTAGAATCTCAGCTGAATACTTGTCGTTCTACAATTAATAGTAATACTCCAACTGATGCAAAACAGAATAACATGGTCAATGAAGATCAACTACAAAGTGAGTCTGGTATAACAATGTAGTTTCACGATGAATTTCCTCTTTATTTTATAAAACAGTTATAACTTGATTCGATCATTCATTGAAGTATTCAATACATGGTTCTAATATTTCACCTAGGCATTCTGTAATTTTGTATTAAAATACATTGGTTGTCCCCACCCATGTTCTCGTTGACAACACTATGTGTTGATTGGGTTTGAAGTAATCTGGGAAAATACTGGTGGTTAACATAATATCTATGAAATTATTAGCTGTTTGTCATATTTCAATCGGATTCATTACCTATCTTCCTCTAGATTTTGAGTTATCATTCATAACTCCTCTTATTTGATTTCTTCCTTTCGAACTGTGCTTCTTATAAGCGGAGATATATGGTAGCTAGAAGTGGAATTGATAAGTCTTGCAAATTGAACGCTATATTCGGTTCCTAAGCTATTCTGTAACCCCCAAGCTAGAACTATACAGCGATCTGAACAACGAGAGAGAAGGCGCAAAGTTTGCGAGAAGTACTTTACTCCAAGGTTCGTTTCAATACAGAAAATACAGGGTTTTTATAATATTTTAAATGTCCTTGGGTTGCTAGAAGATTCTGGAATGCTACTAAACATAGTGGCAGTGTAGCAATCAGTCAATCAGAACCTCTGTATGTGACGTTTCGCTCTCTTGATATTTCTGGCTAAAACTTCAAGTGAACGCTGATTGGAAGAAACGCTTCTTAGTGTTTTCCTGATCCTTGCGAGAAATTTTCTGGGTCACTCCAACAGGAATCCAGGATGCGCATTTCGTTTTGGACACCTCAACTGTGTATACTTGTGCAATTCTATACAAATAAATTGTGCTTCGTATGTTTAACTTTCTATCACGGCTCAAATTAATTAATCTATTTTCCTTTTCATCCTGTAAATTTCCTCTTTCTCTAAGCCGATAATTATATATGCCAACTTGAACAGATACATAATTCTGCCAACTATTACATCGAAGATGACTGACGGAATAAGATAATGTATAAGTTGCATGTTACTCAATGCTAACTATTTATGCATTTTAATGACTTCCTGTTTGTTCCTCACTTTTCCCAGTTAAATAACTATCTAATATCTTAATTATTATTCTTGTATTTATTTTCCTAGTCAATTAAACTATCTTTTTCTGTATATATATATATATATATATATATATATATATATGTAATTGTTATTTTTACGATATTTCCCGTTTTATTTTCTAGAATTAACCATAACTGACAATGTTACTATTCAAGTAAGTTGTCAGTTTAATTTATATTAATATTTCTAAAAAGTGGTATAAATAATTATTGTAAAATTATGCTAATAATAATAATAATAATAATAATAATAGTAAAATAATCATTTCTAGTTATTAATTCTAATTTATTGATTAATTGTTTTTTTCGGTGTTGATTTGTTAGGTAGATACATAAATTGCAATCAATATGGGAAATTGTTTATGACAGACCATTTTTTTTGTGTTTTATGAATTGTTGTATTACTGTTAATTATTATTATTTTATTATTGAAATGTATGGATGCATTATTCTTTAGTGTAAAAGTGGAAAGAGTAATCAAATTACCCACACTATTTCGTTTGATTACAAATCATTAGTAACTGTTAATTGACTTCTGCTCTAGTCATGGATATTTGTAGAGAGCATCACAAAGTCTAACTGACATTTTTTAATAGTGTATCATTATCTAATAAATCGCCTTTGTTATCATTTTTGATAATCAGTATCTTCATAATTCTACAACGAACACATTTAATTAATAATAGTAATATTTTGGATGATTCGCCGATATTGCATATTAAATATAATAGGTTTCAAAAGGACAGTCAATCTTCAAATTTGTGACCTAACCACATTTTTCGTTTGGTTTTTTTTCAGTACTTTCATCTAAACAATCTCTTGGTCGCCATAACTCCACTTATTAATAATAACATCAGGGAACATAAGGAACAGTGTCTGTTATCTGTGTATTTCGGTCCATGTAGAACCTGCTAAATAAATTTCCTTTCTTAATCTTTCATTTGAAATCATTTACGCTTAAGGATACGTACCTAAAACCTATTTACCAAGTACACATGTTTCATGTAACTCAGGCAACATAGGGAAAGTGCATCTGAACCTGATAATTGAAAGGTAAATGCTTCAATGGCAGTAAGCTGTTTCTCGTTGAAATCTGGCACAAAACAGTACCGATTTTCATCTCATTGTCTTTTATGAATCATACAAGTAAACTAATGAAATTGTTTTGTAAAGATTTTTTAGATAATCATTACCGTAAGATTTTCTCGACTTTAGCTATTTGCAATTTTACAAATTCAAATATCTAGCTAAGAATGTTCGGTATCAGTCAGTCAGTAGGTAACAACATAGAACTTCGTACGTACGTACATCAGTTCGAGTTGCCATACCACATTAGCACAGAGATGCAGTTGTCGATTCAAATCCCGTAGTGGTAGAGGTAGTAAGAGTATAAGCAGTAATCGGGAAGATTAGTGTTTGGAGATGTTATTTAAAGAGTATAATCCAGTGAAATAAATTTGGAAAGAGGAAAAAAGGGACATGAAGAATTCAAAAGATTAGAATTTGGGAGAACACAGAGAGTGGATGCACCTGTGCCATTGCAAACGATTTTGAGCCATGTCATTCAGGGTCTCTAACCATCGGTTGCTATCATCTCGTGGTCCCCAACCAAGTAGTCTGCACCTACCAACATGACTCAGTCCACTTGTCAGTGATTTCATGGACTTGTGCCATGTTTTGGTCTGGCCGCCCCTAGCTTTCTTCCAACCTACTCCTGCACCATTGAACATCGCACGTCGAGGCAGTCGGTGGTTGGGCATACGTAACACGTGTCCCAGCCACCTTAGCTGATGAAGTTTCACTACTTCATCAATTGATTTGCCATCCTTACCTAGTACCCGTTTCCTAACAACTGCGTTACTTAATCGATGGTCCCATGATATACGAGCAATGTTTCGAAGGCACCTATGATCAAATACTAGTAGCCTACGGATATCCTCTACTCTTACCGGCCATGTTTCACTGCCATAAAGTAGGACGGAACGAACTGCTGCGCAGTAAACACGTCTTTTGGGTGGTAGACGGATATCTCGCCTACGCCATAAATGACGCAAGTTGGCAAAAGCTAGTCGAGCCTTCTGTATCCATGCTGAGATTTCGTCACACACCAGACCACAGGGGCTGATGAGACTTCCAAGATAAGTGAAGCGATCGACACGCTCAATTACTTCACTCCCTATCATTAGTACAGATGTCAATGCAACCCAATCCTGAAGCAACATTTTGCATTTCGAGGGGGAGAATCGCATCCCGAACATGCTTGCATTGTTGCTTAGAGTGGTCAGAAGACTCTGCATTTTGTCAGCGTCTTCACCAAATAAAACTATGTCATCAGCATATTCTAAGTCAACAAGTGAACCTCCCGGTAGAAGTTCAACCCCTGGAAATCTAGACGAGGAAAGTGTTATCTCTAAAAGTACGTCGACGACAAAGCTAAACAAGAATGGAGAGAGTGGACAGCCCTGACGAACACCACTTGAGGTAATCAATTCTGATGACAGTTCGCCATAAGCTCTCACTCTACCAGTTGTGTTCGAGTAGAGAGCCTGTATAAGGTTAATGTACTTCTTTGGTACTCCTTTCAGTGACAAACACTGCCATAGAACCTCACGATCAACGGAGTCGAATGCCCCCTTAAGGTCGAGAAATACTATCATTGTGGGGCGTCTGAACGTGTGTCTGTGTTCTAGAACCTGACGTAGTGTGAATATGTGGTCTATACAACCACGTCCAGGTCGAAAACCGGCCTGGTTTTCTCTAATCTGCTCTTCACGAGCTTTAGTTGGGCGTCGAAGTATTATTGAAGCTAATATTTTAGACACTATATTAGTCAAACTGATTCCTCTGTGATTGTCACAAGAGGACTTTTGTCCTTTCTTATAGACTGGCACGATCAGTGATTGAGACCAGTCAGATGGGATTACGTCCAGTTCCCAAATTCTACTTAAGACCTCGGTTAATCTCATTGCTAATACTGGACCACCATCCTTAAAAATCTCAGGAGTAAACCTGTCAGGGTCTGCTGCTCTCTCTCGTTTCAGATTTCCTATGGCTTTTTCAACTTCGTAAAGGGACGGAGGACCTACATTAACTTGCCATTCAGGTTGACTAGGGATCGTGGGAAACCGAAGTGTGGCTGAAGGCCAGTTGAACTGATCCCTAAAGTGATCTGCCCATCGATCGATCCAATCTCCTGGATTGAGAATGTATGATATGTCCATCTTTCTCTGAGATTGTTTCGCTAACGGTCGGGTTCCTAATTCCGGTTTCCTTAACGAGTGTGAACAATTGTCTGCTATTACCTATTGCCTCTGCTTTTTCCATCTCTCTTGCTTTCGCTACCCACCACTGTTCACGATCATTGCGTAGGCTTCTTTTCAGCTTGTGCTTAAGCTGATTCCCCTCTTCATTATGTTCAGAGTCAGGTGGAATGAGTTTCCGAGCATCTATCAGTGAGGTAGATGCTGCTGAGATCCAGTGTTTCTCCCTAACTTTACGGTTTACGTTACTAGCAGATATCACTGCTGTTTCGACAGTTTTTTGGATATCACTCCATGCTGCCTCGGGGTGGGCATCACCTACATGACTACCCTAACTGTTTTTCTAGTTGTTCCTGAAATATACTCTTAGTTTGACTATCATTAAGTAGGGCCCTAAGAGGCTTCCTTGCAGCGTCTTTCCTACGTCCAGTAAGACGCAAGCAAATACGCGCTCGCACTAGAGCATGATCTGAATCTAAGCATGTGCTCCAGAATGAGCGACAGTCTTCTATCGAGCCCCTCCATCGGTGGCCGATAGCGATGTGATCTATTTGGGTCCAACGTTGGGACGAATTAGGGGGTCGTCATGTTAAAAGATGTTTTTGCTTGTGCTTAAAGTTAGTATTTACAAGGAACAGGCAGTTATCTGAGCATAGCTGCAACAGACGCTCGCCATTATCTGTTCTTTGAGCCACGACACCATAAGATCCACCTAGGTGTCTTTCCCTATCGCTTAGTTTACCTACTTGAGCATTAAAGTCACTAGCCACTATTACTACATCCGAGCGCCTAACTTTTCGGAGAAGGTCGGAAAGCTTTCTGTAAAACTCATCTTTTACATCACCTGAGCTGCAGTCAGTGGGAGAATAGGCAGAGACGACGAAGAGGCAACGACGAGTGTCCCTATCTTTCCGGATCCTTACTGTTCCGTTCAGTCGGAGAGTGCACAAACGGCTGTCTACTGGGATCCACTCTAAGAGAGCTAGTTCTGCCCTAGGACTCAATGCTATACCTACGCCGGCGAGGCCACGGGAAGCAGAATCAGGGCTTCCAGTGTAAATCGAGTCGGTTCCTTATTTTGGCATGGTGAGGTCAAATGAATGACGCTACTCGGATCCTGTATGCGCGTTTCGGAGACGCAGCACACATCGATGGCGCGGGATTCTAAAGTTTTAGCTAATGAAGCCTGCTGTCCTATTTGGCAGTGTTCGGACGTTAAAAGCTCCTACGTGTAGTTTAGAGCGTGGTTTCAGGAGACCAGTAATGGCGTTCCACGTACTCGAATCGTTTGCCCTAGCGGTGCGAGATGATAAAGAGACGTGAGGAGGGTTAGTCATGGAGATAAGAGAGGTATTAGGAGGTGTAGGAAGGATTTGAATGTGACCAACTTGGTCTCATGTGCTGTGACGGGTATGAGGGCTGATATCACTTCCCGGCTGCCCACACCGTGGAAGGGTATTTCTTGAGTAACCTGAAAAGGAAATTGGATTAGTGTTGGTCTTAACGACCTGGGAGCGTGACCGCAGAGCCCAAGGGACAACTGCTTGAGGTCGGTCGCTCACGGTCTTTGTGGGAGGTCTTCAGTGTGTTAGCTCCGTTCTTCAAAGGGCCTTACCGCCGGAGACGGAAATCCGTTAGGTAAGGTGAGGTGTGACATTTTTAGGGTAGACCTTTTCTAACCCCACCCCTCCTTGTGGGAAGGCAGCATCGCTGTCATGCTGGTTGTCCGAGGGAAACACCTTACTGCTATCACACCCCTCTACAGTCAACAGTACGACTTCGCCCTCAGACCTTGAGTTGCTGCTTTTAGTCTTACCGTTCTCCAATCGACCTGCCTGGCATGGTAGAACCTACAGGAACATATGTTCCAGCTAATATAGCTCGGTTGGGTCATCACGATAGGCAAGCCCGACCACCGCGTCAAGGTAGCAGCTTCGGTCGGTATAGGAATCGGAACTTTGAATAGATATATATGTTTTTCTAAAAATCACGATTAGTGATGTTATTGTTTGTGACTATTCTTATTGTAATGAGCATGAACACAGGCGATGATAATGAAGTGTATTTGAATACAAAATTACGAAATCTCTTAGTAAAATGTGAGAACCATACAGTAAATGCTTTATTTGCAAAATGTCCATCAATTATTTCAGACTTTGTTGTTCCCTCGTTTCCATACAAATCACTCTCTGTTCTTGTTCTCTTCGATTTTCTCAACCTTCTGCCATCATCAGTACCACACATCACGCTGTCAGTATTACTCTTTCTTTTTAATTAATCTCTCAAAAACACAATTCCTTTTTTTGTTTTACATTATTGTATTTAAGACAATCAGTTCATCAACCAGTCAGTTATGCTGTTTGACTTGAAACTAATTTGCTGCCAAATAACTTTTGAGCATATTTATGTGATCGTTCGTTAATAAATGGTTAAGGTTTTTCATTATTGCTAATGTCGTTATTGATTTTTCCTTTGGTGAAAGCATTGTTTTACACAGTGTATGTTGTATTTTTTCCTTTTCTCTAACCCCTTCCCCTCAAATCCCATTATTTCCTAGAATTTAGAACAGAAGTGTTTAATGCTTGAAAAAGAACGTGATAATCTACGTGGTGAACATGAAGATTTATTATTACTTTTAAATGATCAAGATGTAAAAATTATGAAATTGTGTAAACTTGTTCGAGAGTTAGGCGGTCTTGTAAGTTGATAGTGATAACTTATTGATATATTCACTCTGTTAAATTTATTATTATTATTATCGCTTCCTGTAGTGAGGGGTGGGCTAGTGGTTATAAAACTGCTTTCAAATATAATAAACTGAGCGGTGTGTGTGAATTCTAGGCTTGCTGTACATAACTGGATCTAACCAACTGAGTACTTATACCTGTTCTTGATTATTGAACACATCCCAGCAAAATGTAATACAAGATGCCTGCGTCGTTGTATATAATTTTACTTATTTTAATTTAATGAGTGGAATCTCAATTTTAATGTTACGTTCTACACATTGATTGAATTTTTATTTGGTCAATTGCAGTCCTCAATATCAATGGAAAGGTTCAGATAACCAATATGTATCAATTAGAATTCACTCCACTCTATTTAAAACTTTAACGTTTTTCCAGTCGAATGTGTGTCCACGGTTGTCCATATGCATTAATATAAGCGACGATATGTGATGTTACCATGACAAATCTGGAAAATCATGGGCAAGTATCGGACGAAGAATCAAATTAAAAAGATGCAATCAAAACAAAGAAGTAGAAAACGATGGGTTAAAGGTCAACAATAACCAATCAAGATCGAGGTCGACAGAACAAGCTGTGAATCATATGTAGAGGAATTCGAACAATTCTACCTGAAGTTTGTGCTGATGATTTTGTTCAAAAGAACAATGAAAGATTCACTACCAAACTATCCAGCTCAGAGAACAAAACTTTACCAAAATCATCCGCCTGAGCTAAAAATCTCCATAATCTTATTTGTTCCGTTATAACATAATAATTTCATTCATTATTCAGTTTGTTCTACTTCTAGTGTAGTATCATTAAATTCAGTTCTGATTGCGGTATTTTTGTTTTGATTAAGTCAATGAACGGTTATCAACTACTTTATTTTCCTGTCGAGAGAATATAATTTATTCAATAAGCCAACTAACATTCTATTATGACACATTTCGTTTAGCAGTATGCTTTTTGGTGTACGTGTTACTCACTTAGTTTAACTTTACTGGTACTAATCAATCAAGTAACTTTTAAAGTTCCGTTGTCCACTTGGAAACTTTTTACTAAGTTCAGGTGATTTTACATCATCTTTATCACATTATTTCTGAAATCACTAAATTTATCTAATAAATTATCAGTAATTCTACATGTAGAGTGAATTTGTTCAACTTAGATGTTCTAGTAGCGAAGGATATCAAATCCGCGTTACAGAAATGTTATTATCAAAGATACTAAATCACATCTAGTCTTTGAATTAAAAATAGTACTTAATGATTTTCAATGTTAACAACAACATTATAAGAGCTAGAAAAATCAACGATGTATTCTTTTGTATCCAGTTTCTAGTTATGTCTGTTTTGTTAAAGCTATAAAATATAACAAGTTTTCTTTACATTTTTCAAGAAAAAAATATACTAATTTATTTTGTTGTATTTTAAAATTATTTCTTTTGCCAGATACCAAACGATATTGAATTAAATAATGTTAGTGATTCACAAATTACAGATAATCATCATAATCAATTAAGTAATGAAAATACTAATCAATCATTATCCACATTTCAAACAATTCCTTCAACTTTTCAACCAGATACATTACAGTGTCCAACAAATTTCTCATTTACAACTTCTGAACTAACTTTATCATCTAATTCAATAAATATTTCAACACCATCATTATATTGTGTTTATGATGATAATAAATTACTTCATACATCACCATCTCCATTATTATCTCATACTAATTCTATACAAAATGTAATCATGTCAACAACAGTAACAACAAGTCAATATTACTGTCCACAAGTATATTTTAATGCTGTAACACAAAACTATCCATGTTCACCATCATCTACTTCAGTAACATTGTATTCTACTAATAATTATCCAATGATATCATCGAATTCATTGAATAATGATCATTTGAATTCATATACAAATACACAATATTTTAATGTTAAACAATAATAAAACATTAATTGAAAAGAATACATTTTAAAACTTCTAATATTACACATGAAATAATTGTACATTACTTTAATGCATCATATGATGCCTACGGTTTTTTCTTATTTGATTCATTCCTCTATGAATAAATGAATAGAAACATATTTTTTATGTATAAATGCGTTAGTTCATCTTATTTGATTGTTAATTTGTTTAACTTTCTTTTTACTTTGATTTTCTTTTCTTTTTTATTTGATGTTTTAGGTTCGCTGTTTCCGCTTTTTTTTCCCTAAATAACAACCCCAAAATATTGTGTTGTGCTTATGATTGTATCTTCAACTTCTTTTCTTCTTCTTCTCCTCAATATTTTCTAATATAAAAAGTTGTTTGTTCTCAAGAAAAGGAATAAATTTTTTTAAGAAAAAAAAAAGATTTATACGTAGATAGTTGTAGGGTAGGGTCAACGTTGAAATTTGGACTGTTTTTACTGATTGTATACACTCAATAATTAGTTGTTCTGGTCTCCTGTTTATCTATATTCCATGGATTGTAGTGGTGTGTTTTTTTTCTGGTTGATTTGTGCTCTATTGAGTAATTTACTTGGATAAGATGATATTGTTTTTAAATTTAACTGGTTCTTCATTCAACTCTGTTAATTTCTTATAAGAGGGAAATTCATGTTCGTCGTTAATTAACCAACGATGTATGTATGCTAAAGACAATATTTCGTAAAATATGCGTGTGCTTTTGTATACTGATGCTTTTTATGTTGTTACTTGACATAATCAACCTAACTTCATTCACTAAGTGAAAGTAATATATTTAGGAAATGTAACTTGTATAATGAGTGTGTTACTTGTGTATTTGAAATTCATTGTGTAATTGAGGAAGAAATAAAGAAAACTCAATGTAGAAAGTTTTCGTCTCTACAATATTGTTTACTGAAGTTACACGATCGTATTGATAATGAGTTAACAGATGCAATCTGTTGAGAAGATTCACATATCAAAGTAGGGTTACACAGTGATCGGGAAGTTAAAAAAACAATAAAATGAAACCGAATGTATGAATGATAAGTGTAGACTTGATAAGTATAAAAGTCGTAGGGAAAAAAGCAGAAACTCCCCTAGGTGGATCCTCCATGTCCACCAACCCGGTTAAAGCGCCAGACATTCACTTTTCGTCCTCTCAATGTCGTAAACACTTCCGCCATGAGAAGGCAGTGAGTAGGACTTCCCTGTCAGTGGTTGTGTGCACGTGGCCATGTGAGAGCATTTCGAGAGGGAGAGCGGGATCTCCCCACTCTCGGCCGTATCAGGGCATTTGGGGAAAAGATCTCACCATCTTGATGAGAGACTTGGCATAGCTTCAGATCACCACCTAGTGGTTGTTAAGAAGAAATTGAAACTAAGGATGCACTGGACAACTGGCGGAACAGCATTACAAAGTTTAAAAACAGATTTCCTTTAAGATGCAAACTCAACTATTTCAAGATAACTCTCAACAACAGGTTCCAAGCCTTACAGGGTCTACTGAGAGAAGAAGAGATTATTATGGAGGACAACTGGAAAGGGATCAATGAAGTATTAACCTCAACGTGTCAGGAGGAGCTAGGCCGCAATAAGCATCATCATACGGAATGGATCTCAATAGAATCCCTGGACGGCATTCAAGAAAGGAAGAACAAGAAGACAGCAAGTAGAAACAGTCGAACACGAGCAGAGAAAGTCAAGGCACAAGCTGAATACACAGAAGCAGACAAACAAGTGAAGAAGAGCATTAGAACTGACGAGCAGAAATACATGGAATATATAGCAATGACAGTGGAAAATGCTGCAACATCAGGAAATATGAAATAACCACATGACAATAAAGAAACTGACAGGGAAATATAGTAAACCAGAGATATAAGTCAGGGGCAAAGAATCCCAGACTATCACAAATTGAAGAACAGAGGAACAGATAGGTGGGACACTTCTAGGAACTCTTAGTTAGACCAGCCCCACTGAACCTACAGGACATCGGAGTAGCACCTTCAGTCTCTCCTGTAGTTGTTATCCCACCAATGATTGGAGAACTCAGGATGACCATCAAACAAATCAGGAGTGGGAAAGCAGTACGACCTGACAAAATACCAGCTGAAGCACTGAATTCAGACACAGAACCAACTGAAAACATGCTACACGTAAATTCAAGAAGTTTTTGGAGGGGAACAAGTGTTGATGGACTGGATAGAAGGATATCTCATCAAGATATCAAAGAAAGGAGATTTGAGCAAATGTGAAACCTGTTGAGGCATTACACTACTGTCGGTTCCAGGAAAAGTTTTCAACAGTGTTGCTAAACCGGACGAAAGATTCACATAAATTGTACGATGTTTTTCTCCCTTAATTTTGTATGCTTCAATACTCTTTACTCTTAGTTTTTCTATTTAGATAACGTTGTCTACTTTGCTTTACAAAATTGTTCTTTCGTTTGTTTTTATTCCTTATATCTTGAACGTTGTAGGAAATGTATTTTATATCAAATAAGTTTTTCTATCTGGATTATTTTCATGAATGTATTTCTGTTATCTTAATTAAAGTTACTGGCAGAAACATATTAATAGTTATATTAGTAGGATAATTTGTCAACTATAACACTGATTTGTTTAAATCGGTGCTTATTTTCTGTAACCAATTAGATAATTACTGCTAAGCATTGTGAATAGAGTAATCGTGTATTAAATTAAAGTCCATTATAAACCGTGAATTTTATAGCATTTGATAATGACAGCTTGGGAAAATTGATAAGAAAAAAGTGATTTGTAAGATTAGAATGAAACGGAAAATTTATCTAAAATGAACCCGTTGAAGTATAATCCATGGTAAAGCATCATGAAAAAACATAGTACTACTGACCAAAATAATTCATAGGAGAAATTATAAACTGGCCCTTGAAACGTTTTGAAAAAAAAGTTCAAATTTCAACCTAATTTTGATAGCCTTTGCATATCTACTTCATTGCATGTTACTTAAGACAGAGTAAAAAGTCGAAATTACAATCACGGTGATTGATTTCCTCTCATCTTTTCTTTAATATGCGTTTAACAGTTTGTACATTAAAAAAAAACTTATAAACCAGGGCTGCTTTGATGAGAAGAAATACTGTTACTAATCTTTATTTATTTTACCTGACAATGAATTAAATTTAAACTGTTGTTCTGTCCCCTCTTAAATGTTTGCATTGTTTTTTTTATTAAGTTCATTACGTTTTGGTGGTTCTACTTCTGAATTAAGACATCTGTATGGTGAGACTATAATTCATGCCCCCAATCGTCCTGGTACGGCCGAGAGTGGGGAGAGTCAGCCCTTCCTCTCGAAATTCTCTCAAGTGGCCACCTTCATACAACCACTGCCACACAAGTCCTACTCACTACCTTCTCGCGGCATTACTGTTGTCTACGAAACTGAGAGGACGAAAAGTGAATGTCCGGCCCTTTAACCAGGTTGGTGGATACGGAGGATCCACCTAGGGGAGTTTGAAAACCCTGATTCCAAACCAATCACGCACATGGGCTCCAGGATCCTGAAGGAACAAATGGCGTATGAGCCTATTGTTGGTCACTGGCTACCATGGGACTGCATCTCCTGACGTTGCTCCACTGCCTTGTGGATTAGACATCTAGGTCGATGGCTTCGAGCGTGGTCCTCTAAGAGAACCACCTGCTTCGGTTCGGCCACTCGGACAGTATCCCAGCCCTCACACAAATCAAATGATTTATGTGGCACATATGTATTCGTTGACTTCTTGTACTAATATTTATGTGCTCAAATAAATAAATGACGACCTTAGAGCGACGCTAAAGTGGCCTTGAGAATAACCACCTAATTAGTAGGGCTAAATAAGTGTTATAAAGCAGCGTAAAGAATAGGGATCATGATTTACAATTGATGGTTTGGATTTGGAATTAGATTTATGTTTTTTATCACGAGCTGACATCGGCTAAAATGCGAAAACGCTATTTAGACGATTGGGTGAATGAATTTCGTGCCAAAATCCAAGACTCGTTATTCGAAATGTGATTGGTTCATCCATAAGTTATATTTTCACCCTGTTTATAGTTTGATAATCTGAAACACCGTTGTTGGTTATTTTTTAAAGTCGAACTCTGTAGTCTCACAGTCATTGCATGAAATCAATATGAACTCTCGATAGGTACACGTCATATTTGTAGGTGAACATCACTATAAATAAATAAGTGTATACACAAACTCAAAAGCGAGAATAACAAATGGAATTTTTATCCGACAGTTTAGAAAGCGCGTAGAACGCACTCAAAGATAATAATCAAAGTATTTTAGAAAAAGACAATAATTCACAAGTATGGAATTCAAGGTAATTTGATGACTAAGATATAAAGCTATGCCACAAATGTAATAGATGTATATATGAGGTTTGACATATCCGACTTATGGTTGATTACTTTAGAGCTAAATAAATTACATTAGTTGAAAAATTACTGAGTTTTTGATGCTGATCAGATTATTTAATTCGAAAATATGATGGAAGAGGGTAGTAAGTTGTATCAGTCATTTTACCCAATAGTGTAGTCAAATGATAATTTGTTTTCAGTGAGGAATATTACTCATATTAATAATGAAAGGGTTGTTTGCAGAACTATGAACAATGAGAACTACGCACTTTATGCTTTATATTGACTTCATTAGAAGCATCAAATGTTTGAATGGTAAATTAATCCATGCGATTATTTATCTATTTATGTATGTTCTCGAATTAAGCGATAATGAATTACGTTGGTATAATAAACATCGGATCAGATGTGTTCGTAACCCGATAGTTGTCCCATTCCAGCCATATAGGTTGGCAAAGCTGATTGGCTTATATGGACACCTATTGATGACACGACGCAATTACTGGGGCTCAATAACTGTTTTTCCTTGATCTTTATTTTTCTAATCTCACATCCAGTGACTGAAGACCATTTATGGACCATACAGAAATGATTAATTATACCTTTCCACATTGTAAATTTATTTTGTACATTGTTCACACGAACATTTATGTATTTGAATGTCTGTGCTATGTTTCCTATTGTTGGTTTTCACGCTTATCGAAACTCCAGGGTTTGTTTGCTTCTGTTCCGTCTTTTCCTGTTCAAATTCATGTATTTTATGTCTTATAAGTCATCCTTGTGTTTTTGTATCCTTATCGACAGTATTTTATTGAACATACATTTATGTCTATTTTTATGACTGGTGTTTCTTTATTCCCATGATCATTTTTGTAGTAATGACGCATTTCTTTATTAGTGGTAGCAAACATTGAAGTGCGACTTTCATTCAGACATGTGATTATTAACTATCATTTTCGAACTATGGTGGGTTTATAATGATCAAAATTGTCTAGTTTTAATTTGGTTGGGATGTCTAACCAGTTATTAGTTAGCTGTTTGTTAAGTGCTTGTATATCTGCCTGTAGTTGTCTGATCCAACTCTTGTATAGACTTTAAAACTGCTTTCTATCATGCTGTTAAACATTTTGCATATGATGTTATTCTTCCTTTGTTTGGCTGTACTCTGTAAATTCAGTGTATTTTATCTGATTTTCTCAGCTAAGTTTGATAGTTTAGTCTTCTCTTTTAATTCAGTTACTGTTAATTAAAATAACCCATTGTGTCACTGAATAGAAATAAAGAGGATTGAACATGGAAAATTTTATTTTCGACGAAATCATTTACTTAAGCTGTA